AATCATGCACCCCAAATTAATGAAATGCCAACAGGGCCAATCTGAAATCTGTACTGTACTCAATATGTTCATTTTGAGAACATATGATTATGATATCCAGTACATTTTCTATACCTCCTAGTTCATTATATGTACAAGATTATGTTGAATTTGGGAAGTTGAAGTCTAGACATCTTTAAGTTAAGTTCTGTTTTCTATGAGTGCATTACTTGGGATGCTGACAGATAAGTTTGAGAAATACTGCTTTAGAGCAGTATTTACTGTGTGGTAAGAGTTCTAGCAAGCAGCTAAAGAACTTTGGCATTTGGTGAAAGGACAACGGCTTACATTACAGATGGTTTAGTAACTTAAACTACATACTAACATTTAAAGGCAGTTGAAAAGAGTATCATCTTATATAGACTGTTTTGGACATTGGATAATGGAAATAGTTCACTCATATTTCATACTCCTGTCATTGTAAAACATTAACTATGATGCTCAGATAATTACTTTCTTCATTAAGCCTGACTATAATCCGGATGATTGTACACAGAAAGGCTACTTCTAACAGAGAGGTATCAAATATATATTACATTATAAAGGGCAGTTTTTCAGAAAATCTGAGACCAGGTTTGATTTTGGTCTCTTATGTAAATATACTAATATATGCTAATTGTGATTTATTCAATTAAATTTATTCACCAAATGGAAAGATAAAACATGATACTACATCATAGTGCTTTACAGAGTTGTGGGTGGCACAGTGGTTAGAATGCAGTATTGCAGGCTAATTCTGCTGACTGCTGATTGCCAGCAGTTCGGCAGGTCGAATCTCACCAGACTCAAGGTTGACTCAGCCTTCTATCCTTTTGAGGTCAGCAAAATGAGGATCCAGATTGTTGTGGTCAATATGCTGACTTTGTAAACCACTTAGAGAGTAAAGCACTGTAAAGTGGTATATAAGTCTAAGTACTATTGCTATTGCTACAGCACTGTCTAAGCAGTTTACAAAGTCAGCATATTCCCCCAACAATCTTGGTCCGTGGAAAGATAGAAGGCTGAATCAAATTTGAGTTGGTCAGGATCGAACTCCTGGCAGTGAAGAGAATCAGCCTGCAATACTGCATTTTAATCACTGTGCCACCACGGCTCTTCTATGATATGTGAGTCCAGTCATTGGTTGTACTCATATTTCAAGTTTAACCATGAATACTGGTTAGTACAAATACACTTCATCACAATCTCCTCCTCTTCTTGCTAGCCATTCATGCAGCAGCATTTTTGAGTGGCGTGAACCAGAGGGCTTAAGCATGAGCAAATTTCAACAAACATGATAACAATAACTGGAGATGGGGAAATCCATGATTCTTGCATTTGGATGATATGCTTGATATATCATAGATGAATGGTAAACATACTATTCTAGAGAATGGACCAATGGTGCATCTGGCCTAGCCTCTGTCTTATGGCTAAGCATGGCGTGTGAATGTTCACATGATCTATTCTAGCTTAGTCTCTCATGCAAACATCTTGATATGGGATTCAAGTGCCATTTTGAGTGATAGTAACACAATGGACTACCTGCGGTGGGAAAGGCATGACTTCTGCAAATTTGTTTTTATTAAAGAATAGCAACATCTACAAAGGGACTGCAGAGTTATGCTATATCATCTTCCCTACAAAGATTTATTTAACCATTTTTATAACTTGCCCCAGTCCTGAAAAGAGTGGGTGGGTGGATTTATAAATATAGAAATCCTTGAAGAAAAATATAAAAAATTCAAGAAATTCATTAGTCACAGGTGCCATTATTTATTTATGCACTGGGATTGAAAGCCAAATGAAATATATTTGCTTTAGGGGCTAATATATACCTTCTGTGAGAGAGGGCACCAAATTATGGGGTTTATTGCAATGAAGCCTTGCTGCCTCATCCACACCTTGCTCCCATTGTACTATTTTACACTAGAGAGGCAGGTTTTCCTTGCAGGCTGAACCTTCTGGATTCCCAACATCTTCAAGGACATTCCTGATCAATTCTGCAGAAGAACTAATTCCACATAATGGTTAATGCATGTAAATGATGTGACTGTCCTCTCTTCATAAGACCGTGAAGAATTATGCTTTTGGTAAGGGAGCTGCTGAGTGTTGCCAAAGATAAATATGCACTATATATGTAATCCCCATTGTACAATTAACATTCTTGTAGTTTATAGCTACAATTAAAATCCACAAGATTCTTCATTTCACAGTACTAAAGGAATGCAAATATGGATTCGTTGAAGCAACTATTTTGCATGGGCAAAACCAGATTTGTATATTCTAGAATGGATTCAGAGTCAACCAATAGAAAACACAGTGGCTCTTAATTAGTTACAACTTATTACAATCCCATTTATTTCATGGACATAATGGGAGTATGCCTTGGTTGTGCAGACAAGTGAAATATGACTGGGCCTGGTTAGTACTTGGATGGGAAGCCTCAAGACATTTCTGGGCACTAGACTAGTCAGAGAAATTGGAAAAATAACATCTCAGAAGAAAATAGTACTGTAAATTTGCTTCCTTATAGTCAGGGGTAAGATGAACTCATAGGTGTGTTTAAATTTTTATTGTGAGCAAGGTTGAATTTGGTGCTTGAATGTTTCTCGCTGCAATACAATGCCACTAAGGTTTTATCAATGTGGAAAAGCTCTGGAGACATAGTACAAAAAGGATGAATAGTTTCATCTAGAGCAGGACTGCCAAACTCCCGGCCCGTGGGCTGGATGTGTCATGCACTGGCCATGCCTGGTTTAGCAAAGGGGGAAAAAAATCCAATACATCATGTGACGCCACCATGATGATGTGAGTTTGACACCCCTGATCTAGAGCAACCAGATCTCGGCAGAAAAAATTGGTGATTACTAGATGAAAGTACCAAGTGTCTCTCTGCTAATATCTTACAGCAATCTGGATATTTGTGGCCCAAATCTTGTAGCCTCTCCTTGAGCTTCAGGTCTCTAGCCAGGCAGATTTCTTTAGGCAGAGAAAATGTTGTCTCTTATCTATTTCAACTTGATAAACCCCTAGATTTTCATTAATGCATCTCCATCATTCTTGTTGGGGCAAAATAAGCTGTATTTGTCCTGGAGCAATGCCATTAAATTCTAGAAGGTCATTGTATAAAGAACTGCTGGAAGATAGAAAGCCTGGATCCACATTAATGTGTTAACTCAGTCACCATGAAGAAGGGCAAGCGGGAGCCATAGCCTTACCTAGAGGGCCCACAAGGATGGGATCGAAAAAATAAAGATGGTAGTCATGAGAATGAAGCCCTGCCATATATTTTTTTTTTTTTTACAATAGATGCATGTTTGATGTGTGCAACTAAGGGTGAGATTTTGACAATGTGGCCCCGGCTACCATCTTGAATTTCTCGACAAACCTCTGTAAACACCCTAATCTCTATATAAGAAGGAAATAAAGGGCAAATTTCTATGTAGGAAATAGGCAGAAAGTAAATATCTGAAGTGGTTCTTTCTCTGTCTGCCGATTGACTTTGCCACCTGCTGAACAATCAATCCTGTTTTAAAATTCAGAGTCATAACACAATATGGAAGATTTCAGGATTTCCAGGACAAAAATGGCCTGTGACATTTTGAACCAGGATGAAACAGCAGATGATCCGCCCCCACCTGCCCCTCTCAGATGAGATGTTTTCTCAAAGTAAACCAAGTTATTTTAGAACAAGAGGTGGAAGAATAAAAAAATTTCTCTCTAAAGCTGGCATTAAAAATACAATACTAAGAAATCAAATAACAATTTGCTGTGCTTTTGTGGAATCCAACATCTCTTGTCTGACTAAGCAAGGCCAGCCCTGCTCTAGGCATGTTGATGAATAAAAATTGGGTAGATTTAGAAAACAGAAAGTCTTGTGTTAGAGTAGAAGTTAGGTGTTCCAAAATATCCCCAAATTGGAATCAACCCAGGAATTAGAATCCCCTTCATTTTAAACAATGCTAAATTGGGCTTTGAATATTTAGCTCAACTCCCATTATCATCCTTCAGCATTAGCCAAACTGTCTAAAATGCTGTGTAGAGTGGAAGTTGTACAACACCTAAAGGAAGACATGTTTTCTACTTAACACCATGGCTTGACAAAGCTCTTTAGCTGTTTTTGCCAGGACCTTATCTTCACAGTTTTTCTTGGAGCTAAAAGTGAAGCTCCTTTGAGCCAAACTCTGAGAAAGTTCCCCATTTGCTATTGGATGAACAAGGGGCAGCTGCTCAAAATGTCACCCTGGCCAAACTCAAGCTTCTGCCTGGAATTGGGCAAGATTACTACAGTATCCCTTTCTTTCTTCTATATTTAAAAGGGTGGCGCTCAAACCAAAGAAGTTGCCAGCCTATAGTAAAGCAGAAAATATAGGTCAGGGACAGCCAGCCCTTCAAGGTATGTAAGATCACAAAGCTGGAGTCACCAGAAGCTCTGGAATGTTCTTTAAGGAGCTTAGGGCATGGTAACAAAATCTTCAAAGTCCATTAAAGCCTCTCCCTACTTCAACTTATATCTAATCCAGTCAAGATGGACTTGTTTTGAGTTTCTTCCTCATTCTTTTTACTTTCTCAGGATTCAGATATCTTTTCTGTAGTGGTTCAACATTGCCATCCTTCCCTGAATCAAACCCACATTCCATCAAGTTTGGCAATAAATGCCTTGACAGTTTCCTGCATAGGCTACCTTGCTCACACCGTTGACTTCTATGAGATTATTTGACCCACAAATGGTGGGATTTAGAGCCATTCATTAATTGTCTCTTCAGACTATATTCAGCAGTGACTCAGTCACAATTAGTTACCTATAGTTAACTGTGCCTTTACTCCACAAGGGTAATTTGTTCGTTTGGGTAGAAGTTGCACTCTTGCTGCTTTGAAGATCCAGAGGAATTGTGCGGTAGGTCTATTTCGAGCATTCAAGTCACATGGGATCAGGAATCTTTTACAAATCCATGCTTGGTCTGCCACCAGCTGCTTCTCCTTAAAATAAAACTACCGGGCAAACAGTAGGGATCAGGAGGGGAAGAGAAGAACTACTAGATTCTAACCACGAAAACCGGCCCTGCTTTCCAACCAACATGTCGGATCAAAGCCCCTTTGAAACAGATATGCTAACCCTGAACCGATATGTCATGGAGAAAGGACGACGGGTGAAAGGGGCAACGGGAGAATTGACCCAGCTTTTGAACTCAACGCTCACTGCCATCAAGGCCATCTCATCAGCCGTCCGAAAGGCAGGTCTTGCTCATATGTGAGTAGCATAGAAAAAGGGAGAAATGGGTCTATATTAGAGTGTCTTGGATGAGATCTGGGGAAGGAGGCCTGTTTCTTATAATACGTTGAACAAAATTATCGAAATAGCATTCCACGTGGCTGCAATGAAAGGAAAAAAGCACCTATAATAGGTAACATGTATGCTGTGTTATAGAAACCCCTCTAAAATCATTATTGATTTTCATTTGATATAAACAGAATTTGATCGGAAAGAAGGCACCAACCAAATCTGATACCTCTACTCTATTAACATAATAATTTCAAGGAGAGAACAGAAGCTTTCAGAATATAGCAAAACTTAACAACAGCTGTAGACAGGTAGTATACAAGCATGTAATATGCATGCATAGTAATATAATTCAGCAAACCAAAGCAGTAATATTAACCCAGGAATAATCTGATTTGCCTTTATGCTGTTTCTGTGATTGAGAAAACAAAATGATTCATAAGCACGTCAGCATAAAGATCAGGCCAGTTAACTTATTTTTAATGTCATAGAAGTTGCATTCAGAGAAGGATTCAGAATTGTGCCAAGTGGCAAATTGCATAGTCTTCATTAACAGGTTTGATGTCATAGCCAAGTCTTGATTGTGTTCCAGAAACCTGATAGACTATTTTTATAATTCTGTGTGGACATGAATGAGTTAATCAGAGAATAAGTTGCCAAGGTACAATCTTCTGCTTCTTAGCACAATATCTCAGGGCAACAGATTTTCTTGATTTTTTTTCTTCCAAGGTTACAAAGAGGACTTTGGCCTTGACGGATGATATCAAATAGCAGAAACCCTTTTATTCCCATGCAAACCTTTGAGATTGACTTTTATAAAAGTTGGAAATGCTGTCCAGAAAATAGAAAAGGTTAGATTAGTTGTGGGGAAGGGCTGTATTTGATTCTGAAGATCTTAAGCCTTTCCATCCCTCTGTCATTTCCTATTTGAAAGGAACAGCGGTTTGTCCTTTCATTGCTTGCAAAGGGTTGGAATTAAGGGGAGAGAGAGAGAGAGAGAGAGAGGGAAAACGCTCCTCCTCGTAACCTCATTACTGTTCATTGAGTTGGTGGAAATATGACACTAATTGTTATTTTATTATATTTATTATTCTACTGATATTGCATCTTGAGATTCCTGTGAATCATTCAGAGATGTATGATTGGGGCAGTCTAAACATTGGTTAAGTAACTCATTAAATTCAGCTACTATGACCATGAAGCTTTATTCTGTCTTATTACTGAACCTTGTAGTGTCACTACAATTTCCTGTGACAATTTAAGGGCAGCAATTGATGGAGTGCCCTAGCTTCATTTCCCCTCTTTAACGTATGGTGAGGTGAGACCTGACAAGAATAAATGGTGCCTAGATTAGAGACCTTAATCACATTTCAAGTTGCCCAAATAACAAGTTGTCAGTGCACAGACAGCTGCCCACTTGCACTATTTCTGAATTTAGGTCTGCCAGTCTTCCAGAAGATTGATAAACTTGTGTGGAAAAAAAAAATATGGCACCTGGTAGGATGACGTGGTAGAGGAGAAGCTTGGCTGAAATAGAAAGGAGTTCCCAGAGCTGATCAAAGTTCTCTCCCATTTCATCTTGGGTCCATTTAGTGCTGACTTCTAGCAAAGATGATCATGGAAACAGATCCTATCACAGTACTACAATGACTGGCTTTTTACAGAAACAGTTCTGGACATTTAACACTGAAGATGTCAGTAAGATTGCGCTAAAAAAAAACCCATGCAGGATACAAAGGCAGACTCATTTATTAATGAAGCGGTTTGCAACACTTTAAAGCACATTCCTCTTATATAGGCATTATTTCATGATTGCTGAGGTAAAAAGATTCAATAAACCGAATATTATCCATGGTCTCCAATTAACCTCTGGAAATGCCTAGGAGCACAGCCTGGCCTCCAGTGTTTCCAAAAGGCCTTCAATATGGTCCTTTAATATGGTCAATGGCAAAAGACTGTGAGAGGTACAGTCCAAAAATATGCAGAGCATCCATTTGCTTTTCCCTGACTTACCTGATAACTCTTTTTTCATGTTAGTAATAACCTCATGGGCTTTTCTCCCCTCCATAGGTATGGAATTGCAGGGAGTGTGAATGTGACTGGGGACGAGCAGAAAAAACTGGATGTGTTGTCCAATTCTCTGGTTATCAACATGCTCCAGTCATCCTACAGCACTTGCGTCCTGGTCTCTGAAGAGAATAAAGAAGCAATAATCACTCCAAAAGAAAAGAGGGTCAGTATATGGTTTAATTCAGTGGGAAAAGAGTGGTCCCTCATTTAGCAGCAGAGGGCGCAATTGAGTCATGGAAGGAAAAAGATTTTTCCAAGCTCTATAGTTGAAAATGTCTGAGGGCAGACAATCCACCATTCCAGAACTGAATGTTACTTCCACATGCAACAAATAATACTGCCCCCGAGCTTCCAGAATTGAATTAAGACTGAACTGCCTTAAACTGAGGAAAAACTTAGTCTGAAAGAAAAACTTTCTCGTGCCCAAATTGAAATAAAGTGGAAGACAGCTTCCAAACATCAGGGGGAGCGGAGATGCTAACACAAAGCTAAGTTGCCTATATGATCTGAGCTGATCCCAAAGTCTTGGAATCACCAGACCATGTCAGCAACTGGATGGTCAGTGAAGCATGCCAGACTGAATCCATGACAAAAACTATGTCAAGTAAGAACATAGAACATAATAGGGTCGGAGGGAACCTTGGAGGTCTTCTAGTCCAGCCCTTGCTCAAGTAGGAGACCTTATACCATTTCAGACAAGTGTCTGTCCAGTCTCTTCTTGAAAACCTCCAGTGCCGGAACAGCCACAACTTTTGGAGGCAAGCCATTCCATTGATCAACTGTTCTCACTGTCAGGAAATTTTTCCTTATTTCTCTCTTAATGATCTTCCACACAGTTAGTTTTTGTCCTGCCCTCAAGTGCTTTGGACCACCCTATTCTTCTTGGTGACAGCCCCTAAGAGGAAAAACACTCCTTTTAAAAACAGAACAGCTAAGAATACCGTATTTCCCCATGTATAAGCACCCCCTTTGTATAAGCCACCCCCCCAATTTTTGGACTGTGAAGTTTTGAAAAAAATATTTTATTAGAGAAACAAGTTATGAAGAAAGAAAATTTACAAAGAAACAAAATTCGACGTCTAGATCTACAACTTCGGTCATGACGCCGAAAGCGGTGCGGGCGACGCTAGCAATCTACGCATCGGAACGAGAGTAGGAACGAAGCATTCAGGCCGATGCCTAGCGTATGCATTTCTATCGCGTACTCGCACTCGTAATCGTATCATCACGTACAATTTTTACAAAAAAGTATAGCATACTGCTGGAAAACCAGTTTATTCCTACTTTATTATTTTATGCATTTTTCACATATAAAAAGTGTACCTGCTTTGTATATGCCACCCCCGTACTTTTTGGGCTTGAAAATTTTTGAAAAAAGGGGTGGCTTATACATGGGGAAATACGGTAGCTGGAGGCTGCCTCTATTATTGACTAGGGAAAATGACATTGTGAGGACACAGAATAACAAAGATTTCCAGATTTAGGTGTGCGTGAGGAAATGCCTGAGCCTTATTCTGGGACTCACTGTACTATGATAGGTGCGATACTCCCACTGGGCCACCCTACAATTAAGTGAACACCACATTTTACCAATGAGTATGCAGTGAACTCTCATTTTAGTTGGAAAGACGTTGAGAAATAAAATAATTTTTCATCAATTGAATGAGAACTGGTTTTAAAAAACACTACAGGATAGTTTTCTCTCTGACAGTTACATTTACTTTTGCACAAATTTTGTGCACAATTTGCTTGGAGGAGGAGGAAAAGGAGGAGGAGGAGATTTGAAAATATGAAATATCAAACTTTTTGTCCACAGAAGAAAAAATGAATTAATTGATTTATGAGTTGAAGGTTTAAAAAGATGTGAATTAAATTTGGAGGTGAATAAGAATGTAATTACCAGTTCAAAATAAAGTCAGAAGTAATTTGTGTTTCTTAGTTTTAGTTTCCCTTTCTTGTACTTTTCTGATTTGAGGGGGCAGGTTGTGGCTGTTTCTTTTTATCTGTCTTTTCACTTATCTTATATGAACGTTCTCAATAAATATAAATGAAAACATGGAATCTTTTCTCTGATATTCTAGTTCAGCCTTAAAAAGGATCTGACTTAATTTCCAAAATGAACCACAAAGAGAAATAAACAAATTACCTTGTATTCAAGAGTGGCTTTGTATTACCAGTACTTACATAATCTACTATGGTATCCTATTGCTGTTCCCAGTTTGTCTGGAAACTTGGATCAGGAAGCTGCCAAACTTCCTGAAATAATATTTGATATCACAGTCGAAGAACTGCAGGGAAAAAAAAATAGCTTTAGCAGACTTGCAATTTACTAGAAGCAGCCAGACAAGAATTGTTCTATTCCCTACCACTGTGTGAGAGGGGATGGGGGTACAGTACAAGTTGTACTATATAAACATATATTATATAGTACAATACCAGTTGTAGGCAGCTGGTATTGTACCATATAATAGTCTACTTTTCATCATCCCTCTCATATAAAATACATCTTTAGACTATTCTTCTGCATAAAGTAGATTTCTCAACTTTCTAAATTAGCTTTTCCTAAACTGTGAGTGAATATTGTATCTGCTAATATCTGTTTTAAGACTGCTTTTATTTCTCTTTTATTTCAGGGTAAATATGTAGTGTGCTTTGATCCACTAGATGGCTCTTCCAATATAGACTGTTTAGCCTCAATAGGAACAATATTTGCAATTTACAAGAAGGTAAGCACCTGAAAAGAAAAGTGGAATTGTTAATAGTACTATCCAAAAATGCACAACAAATCATATCTTCTAACATCTGATTTTGTCTATGTCATTTATAGAATTCTAAAAATAACATTCACTTTACAGAATTTCCCCCCAAGTTGATAGTCATCAAAGTTGTTGAATTTGTGTGCAATACCAGGTTGAAGAACTCTTTGGTGAAGCAACAGGCCTAGGGAACAATTCTGAGTCGGATCCAAATATATGTTCAACCAACTCTATAAAACCTAATGTAGCTGGCATTAGTTCTTCACATTCTCAGAGAGGTGAACTGGAAGTATGATGGTTGATCCTCTTACCTTCTACATATTAGACGTCCTATATTCTCATCATTGAGTTACATTATACTCAGTTATACTCCAAATCAGCTAAAATAACAAACTGGAAATGACGGTCAGGGTCTCCCATCCTTTCATGCTTTTAATAATATCTGCAAAAGACATCTCTTTTGTAGAGTAGTCATATAGATTCAGGTTACATGTGAAAAAGATTATAAGTACCTCATCAATTAAAAGTATTGCATGTAAAAATCCATTTTTGCTTGAGACATTGTCAGATAGCCTCAAAACTTTTGATGTATGTAACTTCAGGAGCCTCTCACTTAATTGTACTAGTCAAGTCTCCTTTTTCCAAATATCTCTTTGTGATCTGTAATGGAATGTCCTAGGAGGTTGAAGTGTTCTGATTGTGTGTGTGTATGTGTGTATGGGCATGCCTCTGAGTTAGTATTGGTTTGTGATTATTGCCTGGTCATGTCCCCACAGTTTTCTTGGCAAGATTTAAGAAGTAGTTTGTTATTGCGTATTTCCTAAGGCTGACAATGATTGCTTCAAAGTCACCTAGCTGGCTAGAACTCCTGGACTCTAGTCTGATGCCTTAACCACTATAGCCAATCCACTCTGGTATTACTATGGCTTTATTGTGTGTCCTGATGTGACCTGTACGGGCTGTTGTTTATTAATAATTGATTTGAGTGTGATGAACTATGAGCTGTAAATGACAAACACTGTTGGTGTAATCCTTCCTGGAAGTTAATCTGACTCTATTGCTTTGTATATGGGAGTTGTTGGATGGATGTCAGTCTGCTGACTGTTATCAGATATTCAATCAATTGAGTATCTCAGCTGAATGGGTCAGAATAAATGAAATAACAGTATAGCGTATTGGCTGGCTATAGATGATTGATTGGTACTGATGCAAGCAATACTAATATGAGAAACAAACTCTGGAATGGAAAACTGTAGGATGTTCCAACCTGTGTGTATTAAATCCAGATTGCTTTTCCTTTATCCATACATTAGAACAGGAGTGTCAAACTCAAGGCCTGTGGGATGGATTCGGTCCATGGGATGCTTAAATCTGGCCCGCAGTGGAAACAGTGAAGTATCGGCCCGTGGTGCCTCTGCCAGCGAAAATGGAGCTCCATTTTTGCTGGCAGACCACAAAGGCCACTAGAGGTGCCCCCGACATAAGTGACATCGAGCTGGCCATACCCACCCTGGCCATTTGCACCTGTCCCCCCCAAGGTCAAACACAACCCTGATGAGGCTCTCAATGAAAACAAGTTTGACACCCCTGCATTAGAGAAAATAAAAACTAGAAGGCAGTCTACATGATAGTTTACATATTATATAATTTAACCTTAAATCCCTGGAACATGTTCCAATCTTTTGGTTGAGAGGTGTAATCCAGCATTTCTAGTAAAAGATCAGGTCACACGTAAAAGTTATCTGATCTATTTAGGGCAGATTTGCTAAAGTTTTTGAACTAATTCTCTGGAATAATATTTAAATAACCATCCAGGATCATTTACTCTTTAACCATTTGCAGTTGTTCTTCAGGCTGTTCTGAATGCCTGAAATTGTTCCAGAATGAATGTGGTTTCTGGCAATTTGTATATATTATTATCTACACTTTATTATGAAACCAATCTTAAAATGCTAGGGAGAACTCCAGTGTATCCCCATTTTGATGGTTGCATAAGAATTTAACTCACAGGGTGTTGCACCTTTGACCTAAAAAGATTAGTTTCAAATGACATTTTCCATTGATGGCTAGCTATTGCGATCTAAAGATACGAGCTAATAGTAATTATTAGCCATTTGCAAATAGATTTACACAGGTATTGAGTCTCACAGTGACATTTGGAACAAGTAAAGAGATAATGTTCAAGTACTCAGTGTTTCATTTGATGAATCCTGTTGTTGTTGAAGATTGATTATTAACATGAGCAAGTTACTTCAATTTATGACTTGACCTGCAACTGGTATATCTTTATTGTTAATGTTCGTATTTGTAATTTGGCAGTATCTTCAGTTCAATTATATTTAATATTCTTTTATAGAAAAGCCTCAGTATATCAGGCACACTGTAGTTCCATAATTAAGAGAATGTCCTATTCATATATTTTAAGTTTCTTTGTTTTCCTGCAATTTAAATTTTGAAACTGCAAAATGTGTGTGTGTGTGTGTGTGTGTGTGTGTGTGTGTACACACACACACATATGTATCCATATATTTTTCTGTCTCTATCTCTCTGTCTGTATATTATATTAATGCTTATAATGCATTATTTTTTTCTTTTAGACCTCTGAAGATGAGCCTTCTGAAAAGGATGCCTTACAACCCGGACGCAACATTGTGGCTGCAGGCTACGCTCTGTATGGCAGTGCAACGCTGGTCGCCCTTTCAACAGGCCAAGGAGTGGACTGCTTTATGTTAGATCCGGTATGAGTCCAATACTAAGCATAGTTTTGTTTTGGTTGCTGTTTCATATTCCATATGAAAACCGTCTCCCTTTTCAGGAACGGTGGTGGAGGTGATGGATAAAGTGTTTATAATACAGAGGCCATTCTGAATGAGAGCAATGCTTCCTGAGCTGGTATTTGGCTGTATATCATCACTGTAATGCCATGGTGGCAAAATGATTGCTTATGCATTGGCATGCACTAATCATTTGGATGAGGCATGAAATGATTTTCTGGATCTGGTCCTCAAAACCACTGATGTGGCTTTTACAAGACCCCTCCAGAGTCAGAACAGAAGAATGACTGGAAGCTACTTTAGTCTTTAATGCAGCGAAACCAAGAGGAGTTTCATCAAATGAATGAACAACACTATTTTGTAGCTGGCATTAAAAAGTTTTGGGAAACATTGTGTGGAAATAGCAGCCGATAAAGGGTATCAAACATATTTCAACAAGCAAGGGAAAACTGAACGGGAGATTAAGGATGTGAAAGCTGTTTTATCCACACTTTAAAAATGAGGCCAGATTTTAATTGTTAACTAAATTATGCAAAAACTGAATTATTCTCTAATTTGTTCACAATTTTGCTAGGAAAAAAAAATCCAGAATTCTCATTTCCTGCTGATGTTGAACTGGAGGCACATCAGTTTAACTTAAAAAAGCTTTATTGAGTACCGTATAGGTAGTCCTTGACTTACAACAGTTCGCTTAATGATCATTCAAAGTTACGACGACATTGAAAAAAGTGAGTTATGACTATTTTTCACACTTAGGACCATTGCAGCATCCCCATGGTCACGTGATTTACATTCAGATATTTGGCCAACTGATTCACATTAATGACGGTTGCAGTGTCCTGGGGTCATGTGATCACCGTTTCAACCTTCTGGCAAGCAAAGTCAATGGGGAAACCAGATTCACTTAACAACTGTGTTACCAATTTAACAACTGCAATGATTCACTTAACAACAGTGGCAAGAAAAGTTGTAAAATAGAGAAATACTCACTTAACAAATGTCTCACTTAGCCACATAAATTTTAGGCTTAACTGTGGCTGTAAGTTGAGGACTACCTGTTCTCTGAAATTTTAGCTTGAGTCTGGCCTGCTTTAGTTGTTTTCAGTTCTTGTGGTGATTCCTCTCTGTTTTGACATCACTATTTGAATGTTGTCAGGAGGGGCCAAAACATAGACTGAGATCTATTTGTCAGCTTCTGAGAAATCTGCAGAAGATTGGCAAAGATTTCTAAATCCCAGAACATTTCAAAAGCCTTTCCTCCTAATTATTATATTATTGAAAAATAATGCTTGGAGGACAACTCCAACATTGGGGTTTTTTTTTAATGAATGTGCCTATGGATATCCTTATCTGTAATTCTTAGTTGAATGGTCCATCCTACTATGTTGAATCTTGGGATCCAGCTGATGGACTATACTATAGGCTCTTCTACAGAACAAAGTAAGATGGTGCAGACCTGAAATCTATGCACAAAATCTCTAAGATGCTTATGACTCTTTGCAAAGACACTTAAAACTGCAGAGTTTTTTTTTAGGATTGGTTATCACTAATTTCTATTCTTTCTATTCCTTTAAAAGTGGATTGAATTGAGTTTTACCTGATTTCTTGAAGGAATGGGAAATATTTACAGTAATAAATCATTAAGATAGCATGTGAATTAATAGTATATGAATAAGCTCCTTTATTTTATCTGTTTGTAGGCTCTTGGTGAATTCATTTTGGTGGAAAAAGATGTGAAAATCAAGAAGAAAGGAAAAATCTATAGTCTTAATGAAGGTTATGCAAAGTATTTTGATCCTGCTGTGACTGAGTATTTACACAAGAAGAAATTTCCTGAGGTAATTTACCATTTGGCTGCCATTAATTACAAATAGTAGTATTTAATATAGTTTAGTTTCATAGTTCCCACAGAGAATTTTGATTACAGTTGAATTAATGCATTCAAGGAGAAAACTTGTTGTCCAAAAGGAACAAGTGGAAAACTCTGCTCATTTTTGGAACCATTTACTAAGCAATCTATTTCTTCACCTTCAGGCTTTACTTTTATGGTATACTACACAGGCAGTCGTCAACTTTCAACAGTTCATTTAGTGACCTTTCGAAGCTACCATGACCCTAAAAAAGTGACTTATGACCATATTTCACACCTACAGCCATTGCATCACCCCCATGGTCATGTGATTAAAATTCAGATGCTGGCAACTGATTCATATTTATGACGGTTGGAGTGTCCCAGGGTCATTTTGCACATTTTGCAACCTTCTGACAATAGTGTCAATAGGAAAGCCCAATTCACTTAACAACCATGTTCCTAACTTAACAACTGCAGCAATTCACTTAACAACTGCTGCAAGAAAGGTCATAAAATGGAGCAAAATTCACTTAGCAACAGAATTTTGGGCTGTGTAAGCCAAGTCATACCTGTACTTTAGTATACTTTACCGTTGATTCGATACTTGCACAAACATTCCATAATGCAGGTATACACGTTCTCTAAATCAATCTTATATTAATGTTCTTTCTCAGGGACCAGCATTTCTTTATCACATGCTGAAATTGAAAATCTGCTTTTTAACATCCCCTACTTGGCCAAAAGCCATACTGTACCCTCCAGTTCCTACTGTTCCTGCTCTCCTCTTGTACCCTTTCAAGCAGAATTTTCCAAGCAACTTTTCAGGCACTTAGAATAATAACGCCCATAATTTTCACCCTTACAATTGCTACTAACTGTCAGGCAGGTACAATCTTCTCAGACACATTTAACAACTTGGGCTTTCATGTCTCCTCCTTTTACATATGACAGAGGAAGAAACCAGAAGTTTCTGCTTTTAATTTAAACAAGCAGAGCTCCCTGCTGTATTGGAATCCAGAAAACTGTAGCAAAAACAAGGGTAACCAATAACTTTGATTAATTTAAAACTGACAGGAAAGAGGCAATCTTGGTCTGTTTCCCTCACAAGCTCTAAATCACAGTTGGGGCTACTGTACTATTTGGGGAGGAAAGTTATAGTTTGGATCTATCAGCCAGGAATGATAGATGTCTCTGCCTTTCCCCCTAAGTTTAATAGATCAATTCTTTTACAAAGGAATTTAATCTCATTTTATGACTTACACAATAAGCAGCTATTTCCCATTTCAAAATATCAGAAAATACTTCTGCCAGGTAATTAGAAAAGCCTACTAACCACAAAAATAGAAAGAAAAGAAAGAGAAAAGAAAAAAGGGGTTTAAGGAATGCATGTGCCCTGGGACAGGAGGTTGTTCTAACCTGTGTTACAGAAAGAACACAAGATGGTGTTATGTAAATGGATTTATTACCCTACACGTGAACCTGTCTTTTGATATTTCCTATTCCAAACCCAGCAACTCACCTCATGATTAAATTTTCAGCCAAACAAAAAGCCTTCAGAAGAAATGTATTTTTTTTCCTGTTGCTTTAGTTGCCAAGGCTTATGCGTCTGATTCAGAACTTGACCCATAAATTCAAATTTTGAAATGATACTTTTTGTCAAAATTACTACATAAGAATCAGAAACAAAAACCAGGAAATGACTTCACTATATTATATAGGATCTGGATTTGGGTGACTGACCTTCGTTTCATAATCATCAGTACATTTAGTGCAGTTCACTGCAGGAATTCCATGAAACCAGCAAGTGTGACTTTATTCAATTTACTGCTGAATAAACAGTAAGATGGCATTATTTCACATTTCACAAACGCATATGGTCAACTGAAACCAGGAAAATGAGGAAACAGAGTTCTGAATCAGACACATTGCGCCTTTTCTACAGCAATTCCAATTTAGACTGAGTCATCTGGTTTACTTACTTTCTTTTACACAACTTTACAATTATTTTAGAATTAGAATTCTTTTATTGGACAAGTGTGATTGGACACACAAGGAATTTGTCTTGGTGCAAATGCTCTCAGTATATACATAACAGAAAAGATACATTCGTCAGGAGTCAAGAATCATAAGGTACAACACTTAATAATAGTCATAGGGTACAATAAATTTCAATATTTTTTTACAACATTGAACAAACAAATTGTAAATCTAGACAGCCACAGCAAAGGTAGATGTGATCCCAATCATAGGGATGATTAAACAGCATATTGCAGTTGGTTGTGGTTTATTTCATTGGATTTATTGGATTAAAAATGATCTGTCCATGACTGGCATCAGACTTCCTTAGTTCATTCTTTCTCAGCTTTTGTACCTGTTGTTACAGAATGGACACCCTACAATTTCAGTCAGCATGGCCATTGATGAGAATTTTTGAGGTGTGGAAATGCAGAGAAGATCAGGCCAGAGAAGGCTGATTTTGTGTAAGAATATGCTGTATTTTTCTTCTCTGATCAGGTGATTTGCTATCTAAGATCGAATGCAATGGGCATAGTAGGAGTTACTAAGATTTGTAATCTTCTAAATGTAGGAAACCACCAAAACCACTGCGCTTGCTCTGTAGGGGATTAACCAGTAGAATTGCACTGTTATCTTTCCACAAAACTCAGTGTATTGGGTAAAAAGCACGTGGGTAGCTTTTCCCATCGCTGTGTTATAAATACAATTATAAAAGATTCTGGGAAATGAAATTACAATCTTATTTACTCTATAATTTTTGAATTCACTGTACTTATTACATCACTGTCAACTGAAGTGATCAGATACACATTGCTATTAAGTTCTTAAGAAGGGGAACTGAAATCTTCCCTTAGATCAGACTTCGTCAGTTATGACAACTTTGCAACCTGTGGACTTCAAACCCCAGAATTCCTGAGCCAGCACTAAATATTTGATGGTTGGAACGTTTGAAAGTTCCCATCCCTTGCATATTGCCCCATGGGTTGCTTCCTGTGTCCTTCCTGTGTGAAATTGTTTCAAGGAAAAAGACACTTAAGCTTAAGTCACTAAGATGGAAACCAAAGCTATCAAGTTGTTTTAAAGAAATACGGTTGAATCAAGGAATAACTCGAAAGCTGACGAATTGATTTTCAAAGCATCCCTTTGGGGTGGGGGGAATAGATATCCCTTATATTCCAGTTGCTGAAAGAAACTGCAAGCCATAAGAATGAACTTTGTTGATATTATAGAAGGAATTGAGTTTTCCCCCCAGTAGATCTTAGTTCCCATCCCAAGCACCTTAGGCTATTTTCAAAAGGTGGCTTGAATGATATTGTGTAATATGAGATTGAGTGTTGCTAATATAGGTAGTCCTTGACTTATGACCACAATTGAGCCTAAAATTTCTGTTGTTAAGTGAAACATTTTTAAGCGAGTTTTTTGCCCCATTTTATGACCTTTCTCACCATAGTTGTTAAGTGAATTTGGCTTCCTCATTAACTTTGCTTGTCAGAAAGTTGCAAAATGTGATTACATGATCTCAGGATACTGCAACTATCATGAATATGAGTCAGTTGCCAAGCATCTGAATTTTGTTCATTTGATCACCGGGATCCTGCAACAATTGTAAGTGTGAAAAATGGTCATAAGTCACTTTTTTCCAGTGCCATTGTAACTTTGAACAGTCACTAAATGAATTGTTGTAAGTTGAGGACTCCCTGCATTGTGTTATATGAGATTGATGGTTGCTATGTTGCTTCTTTGGGGTGTGGAATGGGATTTAAAATTTGTTTGGGTATGTATGTTTATCAACTCATTGTAGAATCTTCCCTTTTGAGTGATGTGGTAGGGACTTCCTTGAATACAGGTGCACAACCACAAAACATAAATGAAAATTAATATAAACACTCTGAAACATCTGCATGATGAGAAGTTAACCTTTAAAAATGAGCAGAGGGGAATGGAACCAACAGGATTAACTCAGAACTCCATAAACTGATGTTTGTTTGAGAGCATTTGGGCAATATCAAATGGTAGACTTCTATCTTTCCAATTGTCCAAGCAGAAGTACCATTAGCTATTTCTAGAAAGGAAAAATGAATCATTCCAAACCGTCAATCAGTATCCATTTCTTTGGTCATCTGAAAGGGAAATCTATGAGTTGTTCACTTGGAGCAGTGAAAGTGGCTTGGGATATAACAAAATGAGAACAGGAGGCTACAGTGGAAATTCAGAAAGGCAATAGGCCAGCACTTCTTCATCTGCTCTCTGTTTCATTCTAGATTAAATAAATCTGCAAACTCCATAAGCCTGAAAATATTTAATATTATAATCTGTTTTTCCAGGGCTATAATATTGCACTCGGTCAGAGAGACTAGAGTATGATATTCTGCCACATTTTGATTTCTGCCAAACAAAAAACTGCTTGATATGGGGATTATTTCTATGGCCAGAATTTTATGGGTACATAATTGTTGGAAATTGCAGACTAGATATTTCATTATTTTTCTTCCCTCTGAATTATGCCTCAGATTAGGTTCAGGTTTGTACTAGGTAATGGGTATGAACAATTCTACTCTGATATAATCTGTACTTCTGCTTTACAGGAAGGTACATCTCCTTATGGAGCCAGATACGTGGGCTCCATGGTGGCTGATGTTCACCGTACTCTGGTGTATGGTGGGATATTTTTATATCCAGCTAATCAGAAAAGTCCCAAAGGAAAGGTATTTTTTTTTACTTTAAATTGACTTATTATAAGAAAGTACATTTTTAATGAAAAAGGTGGGCATTTTGTTCCTTGGAAAATCAGGATTTAGAATTAGAGACTAGTCCAACTGATGCAAGGAATCACAAGGAATCCAATAAATGAGTTGAGGCTTTTTGCAGTAAAAGTTAGAAATATGTATACAAGAAAAACTTGCATATTAATTATTATTTATTAAATTTATATTCTGCCCAATTCCCACATTCATTATTTGACCAAAAAACCCTTATGTACTACAATATGGTATATGTACGTGAGTAAATCTGTTTAGGATTGCACAGTTATTAGAAAATTAATCATAGCACCATCAGCCGAGACTATTATGAAAATTATATGACTTCATTGTTTCAATAATGGCATTTGGCTAGTGGCTTCAATGGGCCTTTGATTCTGCTCCAGCAATTTTCTAATTCTTGGCAAGGTCCTCCTGAATTCAGGATTTCTCATTTTTAGTTAGGAGGTGATAATAATGTGAAATCCTCTGGAGAGAGTGCAGGTTGATTTTAAACAGCAGAAAAAATAAATTGTTTATTACTGTTTTCTTTATTAGTCCTGGAACATTTTTTACTATAAATTAGGGCTGTGCAAGTTTACAGATCATTTTGAAAGCTACTTAAACAAGTACGCAGTGGTTGAAATAGCAAACAATAGAACAATAGACAATGTGCTGTGAAATGCATGCTGTACTATGTATATCATTTTCCAAACCAATGTTTGTCTCATATGATGTTGTTCATGCTTCAGAAAGTATCTCAAACTGTATGAGGAAATAATGGGACAATGCTTTCTTCCCCTTGCTCCCATTCTAGAAGACATAAAGCTTTTCAGAATTCAAACCTAGGAAGGTTTAAAAAATATAAGTCTTAAATAGAGACATAAATATTTTAGGAAAATATTAGATTAGGGGTGTCAAACTCAAGGCCCGCATGCTGGATTCGGCCATGGAATGCTTAGACCAGCCCGCCGTGCCTCTCCTAGCGAAAATGGTGTGTGGGTGTGAGGCCCCCCTCATTTCTGGCCTGGATGGCCTCCTGCCGCACTCTGGCAGAGAAAATGGGGTGCAGGAGGCACATGTGCCCCCGCCCCGTTTTGGTTGGCAGAGTGCGGCCAGAGGCCATCCAGCCCCAAAATGGGATGCTGGGGGCTGCGCCCAGCCTCCCTGTCTCCGTTTTGGCTAGCAGAGTGCCGCAGGAGATGTCCATCCCTTCTCCCTCACACTTCTTTCCCTCCATCCCCCACTGGCTGGCCCACGAAGGACAACTACAATGCTGATCTGGTCCTTGAAGAAACCCAGTTTGACACCTCTATATAATATTAGATGGTATTCTATATGGAAAACAATCTAATGGAACAAGGAAGAGGCAGAGAGTCTTAATATGTTATGTCATAATTTATTAAATATAGTTTGTTGTCTAAGCACACTGACTGGAATCTTGTTGGAAAACATAAATTACTTTTCAGTCAACCAAGACATATCTGGATTCATACATGCTTTTTAAAAACATCACATTTTGGTTTAGGGTGATGTGAAATTCAGCTTCCAAAATTCTCTCTATGTTGACTGGAAAGGGATAGATGAAAAGATTACTGTTCAACTAGTTCAGATGTGGCCATGTTCTCCTGTAATGCTAAGCAGTAATGCATGATTGACATGTCATGCTAAACCAAAAACACAAAACCATATTGTAGCTTCAAATGAAGTGTGGCTTAAAACTCTATGTTCACCTACCTCAGTATTTTCCTGCCTAGAGGGAAGCAGGACTCTTCAAAATCTTAGGTAGAATTTATTACCAGGGAATAGTAAGGTTGAATCTGACTTTTTTGCACGTAGGACTGTTACAAAACTATTGTTCTTTCTGTTCATGCTGGGGAAAATGCAGTTTGTATTCCTATTGAAATGAGTTGGAAAAATCTGGACTGCACTGCATTTATTAGTGTTGTGGTTTAAAAAGAAACAGAAATGCAAGGACTTCAAAACTGAAAGATGATATATGTATGAGTGTTTATAATTTGAAAATCTGTTGTGATTAGATATAAATTCTCCAACTGCTTCTTAAATAGTTTCAACAAAAGAAATTAAAATGAGAATAATGGGTTTTCCCTCTTATATTCCAGCTGCGGCTCTTGTACGAATGCAACCCCATCGCTTTTATCATTGAACAGGCTGGAGGAATAGCTACCACAGGGACAGAGGCAGTGCTGGATGTAAAGCCAGAGTCTATTCATCAGAGAGTCCCTTTTGTTGTTGGTTCTCCTGAAGATGTTCAAGAATATCTTGCATTTGTACAGAAACACCAGAAAAGCAGTTAGTGGTCCTCTAAAGTGCTCCATCAATTTGCTTTCACACTCTGGTCTGGAAAAATATGAAGGTGCAAAGTAAAAGAAATGTCCAACCTGATGATCACAATAAGAAAGGCATTGTCGTTGCCCCCTATTTTTAAAAAAAAGAAAATCTTTATTTAAATAAAAATATCAAGTTGATCATTTTTTAAAGAAACAAGAAGAATAAAACAAGGCTCTTTTTGAATGAATTGAATACCTCCTTTTCTCAGACAAGTTTTGACTGGGAAGTACACTCCTCATGTCTAGCATCAAGCCAGTTAATAATCAAATCACACTTTGTCCAGTCTTGTCACCTCTGCGGTAGTGGGTTTATTAAATATTTTTATTAAATATTTTTTCCCAAATGGTGTGTTCACACTGTTGGCAATGTTATATTGCCAACCTGGCCTTTAATCTGTATACATTAAAATGGTTTTTCATGATTTGCTTCTTGTTTTGTTTTTCACATATATCTTGCATACCAAACTTTTCAAAATTGATTTTGCCTTCAGCCAACTAACACAAATAACTTGTATACCTTTAAATATAACTTGTATACCTCCCCATATTTGTTTCCCCTCTAAATATAAAGAATTGGTTGTTGTGCCTATATGGCGAGACTGAGATGATTCTGGTGCCTTGACAAAAATTTAAAGAGAGATTCCAGAGCAAGAGTCCAGTACTTAAATAAAGTTTACTGTTTCTATTCAGCTTGGAATAGAAACTGAATAGATTTGTTTTGATCCTTGGAATGATTCCCCTATTGCTGAGAAATCATGTAACCATTTCTAGAACAGCTATTATTCTTCCATGGAAAGTTTGCAAATGATTCATGTTGTTCTTATTTTATGTACATCTACAGTATATACACGTGTAACAGATCAGTTTAATATGTGTAGCCTCCCCGCCAAAATAGTGATTTAGAATAAAAGAGCATCTGCCTTTTTTTTTTTACAAATAGAAAAGTGCTCTTCTCAGTATTTTTTGACAGCTGAGATCAACACTTTCTGCATCTCACAAAACTGGCCTTACTTTTCAGTAATTAATCTTTGAGGATCCCTACTTCTTACCACAGCTGCTACATACTGCTTGATAAAGAATTTTAAGCTGCGTCATCAAGTTGAAATCCCAGATCCTCTTCTTAATTTTTTAAAGCATATAGAGCAGCTTTTATTTGATATCAAAACTATTTGTGTGTGTGTGTGTGTGTGTGTGTGTGTGTGTGTTACCCTGCTTTTGCTTCATGAGCAAAAAGTTGGCTTCCTTGGCACTTTTTTCCTGTGGACTGCATTTTTCCTTCCAATGCTCCTGAACTAAGAGAATGACAGACTGACTAGACTAGGGGTGTCCAACCTTGGCAACTTTAAGACTGCAAGCTTATCAGCTGAGGCATTCTGGGGATTGAAGTCCACAAGACTTAAAGTAGCCAAGGTTGGACACCCTTTGACTAGACCAGGGGTGTCAAACATGTGTCTTCATGGCATCATCATGTGATGTATCATGACTTTTTCTCCGTGGGTGTGGGTATGGGTGTGGCTATGGTGTGATGCATCTGGTCTGTGGGCTGCGAGTTTGAAAGCCCTGGTGTAGACCATTCTACCAACCTGCTGAAAGTAAAAATCCATATCTTATCCTAGTTTAAAGCTATATTGCTACTTGATTCTCCTCTGAAGATATCCCTCTAATTTCAAATGATGTTAAACACTGTTCTTCAAATTTTGTTAATATTCTCTATCAGTGATTATTATTGTACAGTACTTGAAATGATAACTTCTGTAAGATATGTTCCATTTTTCAATCAGTGCTAGGTTACTTCTGATTTTAATCTGATCATTTTTCTCCATTTTTCCAACCACATATGCACACTTGTTTACAAGATTTAAATTATGGGTTTACTGAAATAATTGAAATCAACATGAGATAATGTAGTGTAGTACAAGCAGCAGCAAGCATACCCACAGAAAATTTGCACTAATCTTCCTGAAACAGTTATAGCCATGCATACAGAAGAAATAGTAAATAGCAATAATCTTGTCTTAGATGAATCCCAGGATTTGTGAGTGATGGTTTCAAAAATACTGAATGAGTAATAGCTAGAAAAACAGCACAAAGCATGACAAGATAAATTAGCAACTAGTACCATGCCTCTGTTATTTATTCCATTATATCCTTGTTTTCTCAGTACTGAAGTACATATAAAGGAAAAGATAGTGGATTATTCTCCCAATTCTGTATATTTAACAGCTTAATTATAGGTTTCCAATTAGGACCATATTTGCTTTGATTACTATTTATAACTGTATTCAGTTTTTCTTTACGTGAATGTGAGGGGGTTAATAAATATCAAAATATTTGTGTTCTCTGAGCAACTCCATGTTTAAAGTCCACTGCCCTTAAGTGCATGTTTTTTTTAAAGGAAGTGGACTGAGTAAATCTATGTTTTGTCTAGTTCTTCTGTAATCATACCATCCTCCTTCCTGAGAAACAAAGAGGAACATTTAGTTTGAAGACTTTCCTGGAGCACAACTGTTGAATCTTAAAATTTCAGCAGAATCCTTACATACAAATCTGTTTTGCCCTGACTATTCTGGTTATATCAGCAAAATTGTCTGTGACTAGTAATCAGCTGACTGTAGGCCCCTGAAGCCTGAGTCTGCTGTGCAAAGCTATTGTGGGTAGCTTGAGTCTTGACAGCACAAGTTTTGCTTGAAGAAATCCAATATTTGTACAAGACAGAGGATCATTTAAAAAGAGGGATTTAGGATAAATTCACAATGATTCCATTCAATTTTATTACAGTTGACTTGATTTGCTTAGTTTGAAAAATAGCCTCTATTTATTTCAGATAGTCTAAATTCCCACCCACCCACCCCCCAATATGTACCAGAGAACTAAGTGAAATTTTCAGGAGTGCTAATACGATCATGTACATACTGTAACTAGAAATCTTCACTACAGTCTTAGCAATATTACTCATTTGCATTTACCTGGTTCTTCTTAGAAACAAAAATCTCACAATAACTTGCTTAATAACTTACGTTGACACCTTTGATTTATTCACATTTGTGGGTGAAAGGGAGTCTCTATTCCATTTTGATCTTCCATATTTCTTAATTTTTAAAAGACTTCATTGTCTAATTTCCCCAATCTGAATTCTTGATGTGATTGGATTGCAGTATCTAGAATTCCCAATCAGCATGCCCTACATATCCAGTCTGAACAACAGAGGACATAAAGTTGCCATAATACATATATTATGGATTATAGTCATGCAACCCAATGCCTGGCCTGCAGAACAACAGCAGTATATTGATAGCTCTGACTTTGCTGGCCTTTAAAAAGACACTTAACCGACTCCGCTTGATTATATTAACCATTCTGTGTTGATATATGCAGAGCTAATTTTGACCCCCTGGCTACTGGTCAGTATCTGCGCAGGTATATATTTATGCATGAGTATACGTGGGTACTCTTGTTTTTCCCAAGCTTTTTATATGTATTTATTTTCTCTTTTTAAAGAGTGGTGTGGTGGCCTGTGGCAGGGGTCGCTTACCCCAGGTCATGGTTCAGAACCAGGCCACAGAAACGTTAGGCGAGCATGCATGCCCATGCATCCCCACTTGCGCATGTTCCATTTGTGAAATGGAGCTGCATGCAATCTTGCCTGCCACTTGCACAAAACCATCCTCTCTCCCCCCCATCCCTACCAATCCACAAAGCCAGAAAGTTTGGGGAACTCTGGCCTATGATGAAAACGTTTGCCTCCCACTTAGAAGGTAACTCTAGGTAGCGGCAAATATTTATCTCCTAGGGCACAAAGGAAAAAAAAAAATCTGCTGTAAACTCCATGTGGTGTCAGGAAGGTCATCCGGTCAATAAACACTCAGCTCTTATCCAGCCATCCTTACCTGGGAATTAAGGGCGTACGGGGTCATAAAAAGGGAGGTTTTTTTTGATTTGCTGTTTTTAAAGCTGTTAGCCACCCAATACGATTTTAATAAAATAAATTATTAAAACCAGCCTGCCAATTTCCACGGGGAGGCAATTATAGCAGCAAAAATCAGCCTGCCCAGCCTGTAAAGAGATTGTGCCTGGGCCACTTCTCTGCCAATTACTGTTTTAACTTCCAGCAGAAGTTTAGCACTAAGGGAAAGGTGCCAAGTTATCCTATTCACAATCACATGCTATCGTGTTTGAAAACAAAAACCGGGTTAAGGGCCAGGATTCTTCATTTTGGAATGCATTCTCAGCATGTTTAACCTCATCCTCTCCCATTTCAAACTTGCCAAATTTCAGAAGTGTTCCATTTCCTGTTGTAGTCAAACCTTTGATGCTTCGGATCTCTTTACAGAAAACAATATGCTTTCCTGTCACTGACATTCATGTGGGATGTTTTTAAAGACAGTTTTGCCGATGTAAAACACAAGAAATTACAAGAAATCAGCACTCATCTTACAGTAACTCAGGAGTTGTACATAATTTAGGCTGCAGTTTTCCAGCTTGTGTATTCAGAAGGAAGCCCTGCTCAGTTTAGGGTGACCAATTTCAGACTCAACAAGTTAAGGGTCAGGTTGGCTTACTTCACAAGAACATAATGATCAACTTGCTTTATCACCAATCAGGACAGTGGCAAAATCTTGTTTACCAAGCCATCACTAGCAAAAACAAAAGGTAAACTTTTAAGGGGCACAAGATTAAGTCCAGGCCTCATCTAAGAAATCTACAGAAAGAGTTTGCAGGATCGAACTGAATTGTCATAGATCAGTTCTTCATATTTTCCCATGATTACAATTTTTGTGTACCCATTTTATATACAGTAGACCGGGGTGTCAAACTGGATTTCTTCAAGGACTGGATCAGCATTCTTGTTCTCTGTGGGCTGGTGGGGGTTGGGGCGGGCAGGGATGGATGCCTCCTGCAGCACTCTGCTGGCTGTTTTCGGCCCCGTTTCCTGGCATTTTTGGCCTGTTTCCTGGCCTGTTTTTAAGGCTCATTTTTGGCCGGCAAAGTGCTGCAAGAGG